ATAACTAATATATAGGACCAAATAAGAGAACAAAAATTTATGCCCAAAAATTACTCAAAATCACCAATTGAAACAAGATATGCAATAATTATAACCCAATCGGTGAAATTAGCAACAATTATGATTATAACTATTGAGAATTAACAATAATAATATGCTTTTAGTTATAATCATGCTTAGGCAAAAATTAAGCCAATGAACTCACCAAATCAACCAAATTACTCACTATACACAATGCACATGCTTAAACATCATCAACTAACCCTTTTTAACCATAATTTAACATCACCAATGGCTCAAAAATATCCTAGTTCCTTTTTCCAATTTCATCTAAATATAGCAATTGTGAATTTTAAAGTACTTGAAAACCAATAAATTGCTACATTTAAACATTTAAACATGCTTAAACAATCATAATAATCATGAATAAAATCAAAAATAGCCATGAACCTCATCAAATTTTCGAAATTAAAAGATGTCAGATAGCTCAGGATAAAAAATATGAACTTCTAAAATCAAAAGATTTGATGAAGAAACTTACCTCAATCACGTAGAAGGATGTTTGGTGATGCTAAAAATGCAAAAAGCCCTATGAAACAACCTCCAATTGACCTCCAATTGAAGAAATTAGAGTTTAAGAACCCTAACCTTCAATCCCTCAAAAACCAGATTTTAGGTGTTTTTCTTGGATTTTAATCGGTTAAAAAGGTTGTATGAAGCTCAAAAGGTGTTGGGGTGATGATTTCTAGCAAGATTATGGAGTATAAATGAAAATTTGTGAGTTGGGTAGAAGGAAGAGGGAAAAACGCGGCTGGAAAAATTGGAGAAGTGAAGAAGAAAGGCTGAAATCGCGTTTCTGAAGGCTATATTCAGATACGGAAAACGCGACTAAAAACACGCCTTCAACTCGCGTTTTTGAAGTCGCGTTTCCTGCACAAATCTTGCAGGAATGAAAACGCGACTGTGATGGAAAACGCGACTTCAAGTCGCGTTTCTTAAGTCGCGTTTTTGAGTCTTGATCCAGGCTTGAAAACGCGACTTCCATTAAAACGCGACTTTGGGTCGCGTTTTTAAGGCGCGTTTTCTTTTCTGCAGTTGCAGAATTGAAAACGCGATTCTGAGAAACGCGACTTGTAGTCGCGTTTTCTTTGAAAACGCGTTTTCTGCTTCGATTTTTAGCAGAATTTCAACTTTTGAAAAATTACAAAAGGTACCCCAATGACTCAAAATGCATCATAGATCATTTGTTTGCCAATTTTAATGACTGGAACAAATGTAAAACATTAAAAACATGCATTTTACCCCTTTATAATGAATCAAAAACACCTTTAACGCAAATCGAGGGGTTGAGTTGTTTGATCAAAGTTCGCCTTTTTTGTACTCAATTGGTCATCCTTGCCTTCAATTGCCAACCCTACATTACAAAAACAACTATTTAGCTAAAACATTGATTCAAACCACAAAATCACACCAAGTTAACAAATATAACCTAAATATTGGGTTGCCTCCCAATTAGCGCTTTTGTTTATAGTCGTTGGCTCGACTGAAAAAGTTGAATCACTTTAGAGCATTAGAGAGAGATTTTCTCCCCATGGGTCGAAACTCCCGAACCAATCCACCATGTGGTGAACCATGCATTGATCTTCATAGTCCAATTTCCTCAAATGCCAAGGAGGAATATTAGACTTGTCATAGAGAGGCTCAACTTCACCTTGGAGTGGATTTTGCTTGTCTTTTCTGAATTGGCTCAACTTTTCACCATTTTCTTCATGGAATGGAGAATTTATTAAGCCAACTTCCATCCTTATCTTCTCCTCCTTTGTTCCTACACCATGAAAGTTAGTACCAAGGACATTTATAAATTTAACTTCTTCGGTCCTTTCTTGGTTAACCTTTTCATCATATGGCATATTAGAAACAAGAGCAGTAGGCTCTATATTCCCTTCTTTATTTTCCAAATTGAATTCCAATTCCTCACCATTAACCCGTAATATAAGCTTACCTTTTTCTACATCAATCATAGTTCGTGCAGTGGCTAAAAACGGTCGTCCTAGAATAATTGGCATTCTCACATCTTCTTCAATATCTAAGACAACAAAATCCACAGGTATTATAGATTGTCTTACTTTTATGAGCACATTTTCCAAAATACCCGTGGGACGTGTGATTGACCGATCCGCCAATTGCAATGTAATATTGGTAGCTTTTAGCTCTTGAAGTCCCAATCTCCGGGCAACCGATAACGGCATAAGTGACACACTTGCACCTAAATCACATAAAGCATTAGAAAAATGCAATTGACCAATAGTGCAAGGAATAGAAAAACTTCCCGGATCTTTCAATTTAGGAGGGAGTTTATTCTTAATCAATGCACTACACTCTTCCGTTAATGCTATCATCTCATTATCTACAATTTTCCTCTTCTTTGACATGATGTCTTTCAAGAAACGTGCATAAGAGGGAATCTGTGTTATAGCATCAATGAAAGGAATGTTAATGTGCAATTGTTTAAACATTTTGAAGAACTTTTCAAACTCCCGATCCTGTCCATCTTTCTTCAACCTGTGAGGAAAAGGTATCACATTAGAATTTAATTTGGGATGAAGTGCATCAATATCAATGATAACATGATCATTTTGACTTTCTTGCTCCCCTTCAATTGCTTGCTTCTTGTCTTTTTCACCACCTGAATTTTCAAAATCGAATCCCTCAACCGTTTTACCGCTTCTAAGAATGATTGCATTGACATGCTCTCTCGGATTCACTTCGGTTTTACTTGGTAATTCACCAGGGTTTCTATTGTTGATCACATTGGCAATTTGACCAATTTGAACCTCCACATTCCTGTACATTGTAGTGAGTTGATCCAGTCTCCCTTCTACTCGTTCAAATCTGTCCGAAGTCACCTTAGCAAGTTTTTCCACCGCGATCTCCCAACTTGGTTTAGTTTCAGCCTGTGGTTGCCTTGGTTGAAATCCCGGCGGATTGGTTGGCCTTTGTTGATTGCCTTGATCTTTCCATCCAAAGTTTGGATGATTTCTCCACCCCGGATTGTAAGTATTCGAGTAGGGATTATTTGGAGCATTTCGGTTGTAATTATTGACAAATTGTACCTGCTCAGAATCAACACACTCATTAATATCATGTTCACCTCCACAGAAAGAGCAACAAGCTACGTGAGCATTAGATGAACTTGGGCTAACTCCACCTTGTCTACTCAATAACTTCATCACGTTATTCATTTGGGCACTCAGCATATTGAGAGTGTCCATTTCTATCATACCTGCGTGACGTCTCGTATTACCTCTTTCATTGGCCCATTGGTAGTTATTTGCGGCCATTTCTTCTATCAAATTCTGAGCTTCTTGGGGTGATTTACCCATTAAAGCTCCACCTGCGGCTGCATCAATAATAGTTTTAGTGGAGAAAGATAAACCATTATAAAAGGTTTGTATGATTAACCATTCCGGCAGTCCATGATGTGGACATTTCCGAAGCAAATCTCTAAACCTTTCCCATGCCTCATATAATGATTCTCCCTCCAATTGACTAAAACTAGTGATATCCATTCTAAGCTTAGCAGTCTTTCCTGGTGGAAAATACTTATTTAAGAATGCTCTTGATAAATCATCCCATCCGGTGAAAGTATTAGGAGCATGAGAGTGTAGCCAAAGTTTGGCCTTATCTCTCAATGAAAATGGGAACAATCTTAGCCTTATAGCATCATCACTAACTCCATTCATTTTAATTGTATCACAAATTTCCAAGAATGTAGCTAAGTGTGTATTAGGATCTTCTACTGCATTACCTCCAAATTGAGATTGTTGAACCATTTGGATAAGTGATGGTTTAATCTCAAAGTTGTTAGCATTTACCGTAGGCCTTACTATGCTTGTTTGAGATCCTTGTGTTCCCGGTAGAGCAAAATCTCGTAGAACTCGCCTATTTGCTTCATTTTCCGCCATTTCTTCTTCAAATGGTAGTTCTATCAAAATTTCCTCTATCGGTTGCCAAATCTCTTGTTCCTCTTGCTGTTGTGTGTGCCTCCTTTGTCTACGTAGTGTCCTCTCAATTTCTGGATCGACACGTACGACTTCTCGAGACTCCCGGTGCATACACTACAAACAGAAATAAGGGATATTATGCAACTTCAATTGTCAAAAACTGATTACAAAATAAGATTAAATATAAAAAAAAATAATACTGTCTAAATTAATAAAGATGATTAGGCTCTAATATTGCCGCTCCCCGGCAACGGCGCCAAAAACTTGACGGGAATTTTTTTATCAATGCAAGTTTAATTCCGAATTTACACCCGTTGGACTGCAAGTATACAGGTCGCAATTGTAGTACGAGATGTGTATCGGGTCGATCCCACGAGGAGCAATTTAAAACAATTATTAGATACTAATTTACTCTATTATTTAGACTTACAATTAATTTGAGCAGAAACTTCAGAATTTAATTCAACTACAAAAATTCTTAAATAGATAAATGCAATATCTCAAGGGAGTAGAATTCACTAAATATTAAGATCTAGGGATGTAGATTCCACTTATGACACAAAAGATCTAAAATGAATTAATTCAACACTTGTTACTGCTCTTGTTTAACCAAGGATTCATTTCCAGAAATACCAAAATCACATTCTCATGATAATAATGGGTTAAAACAGATTAGTTTGTCCTAATCTCTTGGTAAATACTAAATCTGTTCTTATTCACACATGAAATGCAGATTTCATCCACTTGAATGTATTTCTATTCTCATGAATATACTACTCAAGCTCTACTTATGTCATTCCATTATTTTTACCATTTCTCAATGAGTAAAAACAACTATAAACCTGCTATTGGTGATCAAGCAACAACAAGTAATCCAACATACACAAGTAGATAAGTTAATACAAGACATAACAAGAGTGAATAACAATCACTTCATATCATTTGGCCATAAGCTTCATCTACTCCCTAGATAAAGAAAATTAGCTACTCATGAATGATAAAACACTCATAACTTCATTAATGTAAATCATCATGAATTACAAATACAAACAGAGTAAAGAAAGTCTTAGCCAAGATATGGTGAAGCCTTCCAAAAATCTCCTTTGTCTTGAACTTAGATGATTACAAGATGAAATCCCAATTGCCCCTTGCAAGTCCTAGGTAGAGAGAATATGTTTTTCTGTAAGAAACTAAGCTACGAATCGTTCCCAGATCTCTCCCCATATCTCTGCATAAAAAACACTCAAATGCTCCATTTTTCCAAGTCAAAATCTATCCTTTGATTCCCAAATCTCCACTTTGTTAGCATAGTCAAAAACCAATATTTTTGACTTGAAAATAAGCCACTTTTCTTGCCCTTTTGTCTTCTGAAGCATGTGCACCGAATTCCCTTGCATCTTATAGCTGGAAAGTGGTATGAACACAAGAGAATTGGCTGAGTCAAATTGCAGAATTTCGGCTATAAAACGCGCCTACACAAAACGCGGTTACAAGTCACGTTTTGTGTACTCGCGTATTCACTTTGGCCTTACTTCATCTGCGATTTTCCCTATCATAAAGGCCGAACTAGCTTTTGTGCAAAACACAAAAGTTGTAGCCCTTTGAGTTAGCTTTCCAATGCTTCAAGAATCATCCAAATCGGAGCTTTGTAGCCTGAGATATGATCGAAATACTGTTACCTGTTCAAACCTCTGTTTTAACTTCCGACCACAGGGTGCAGCTTCTGTATTCCAACGTTTTGCCCATGAAGATGGCAGAAATGGATTTCGATGTCTTCATACGAATTGTAGGTCTCTTTCTTAGCTTTAAAATGGTATAAAAATCACCTCAATCCGATAAGTGTAGCTCCAGATATGGTCAAAATACTGAAAAGTGTCAAAACTGACTTGTATTGCATTTCCTCACTTGAACGTTTTTCACTTCATTCTTCTTGTTGCCACTTAAATTCATCACCAAATCTCTATTTTTCTCCTCAATTGACCTCCTTTGGTGATTGATTCATTATTCCTGCATAAAAATGAAGTTTTTACTATTAAAATCAATAGAAATGCAATATTATCCACTTTTACCAAAAATATATAATTTTACCAAAAACCTCTTTATTTTAATTATAAAACTAAATAATCAACTCAAAATTAACTAATAAAATGCACTTAAAAATACGTAAAATAAACTCTTATCAATACCATATCTTCATGAAGGGTCCAGAGTATGGTTTAAGCTTGGTTTGCTTTCTTGAATATTGTTGCTTAGCGTTTTTCAATCAAAAAACAATAAAATTTCTTGCTGCATTTTGGTTGTTGTTCTTGCTTTCATGGACCTGGAACTGTTCGTTTGGGATAATTAGGGAAGATAATCACGTTTGAGCTTCGATCAAGGGATGTGTGTGAGGTTTGGTTAACCAAACACTAAGTTTTGTACAATGTTTTGGTACTTTGCTTACGTGAGTTGAAGCTGCAAAGCTTGCGACAAGCAATTGCAGAAGAAAGTTTTTTAAGCTGCCGAATGTTTCCTTTTGTTGCAGACTTTGTCTCGTGGGTCTTTGCATGGTTTTTGCATGCAATATTAGCTTTTAAAAATTGCATTTTTGCTCCCCTTTGCTTTCATTAATGCTACTACGACCCAACCAATTGAATAATGTCCTCAATTTGGTCCTTGGCAGCTTTAATTGCTTGTTTGCTTCAATTAACTATCATGCTTTGTTTAAATTGCACTTAATGCATGAGTTTAAGAGCTTTATGACCAAGTGAGCTTGTGTTTGCATATTTTCTTTAATTTTTTCAAATCAAAGTGATGCCTTGACATTTTTCTTTATTTTGGAGGGTAAATAAGTAAACTCATCTCATTAGGACGCCAACTCAAAGAAGGTACATTCTATCCCTTATTTTCACCTTATTTAACCCTACGTGCCCTACGTGACTTACGTGTTTAATTGCATGCCTCTTGAAAATTTTTAGATTTATTATTTATTTATTTATTGGCTTTTAGTTTCGTATATTTAATTTTATGTTCAATTTTGATCACTTGAAAGGCATTTAAATGCCAAGTTGTAATAGTTAGGGGTTTATTCGCTTATTATTTTCTTTTTATTCATCCCCGTTAGATTGTAGTAGGGCGTCCCCCTAAAGTAATAGATAGGTTCTGTTTGCTTTCTTTACTTGATGTGATTTGCATGCTTATGTGCTATGTGTTACCACTTTCTTAGGACGTGCATCTAGATATCATGCCTATGTGCTATGTGTTTTATGTGATTTATGTGTTTATTTGCTTCATTATGCTTTATCTGATTTCTTAGACTGTAATAAATGCATGTTATCACCCTAGTCCAATGCTAGCTGTGATCCCTGTCTCGATACCACACTAGGCCAATGCTAGTTGTGGTTCCTATTGTCCGATTTCTCACTAGTCCAATGCTAGTGAGAAAATAGAAATAAGGGCTAGTCCAACGCTAGCTCCTTAGGAGCCCTTCGCGCGTTAGATCATGATTGTGTGACAAAAACACTTCATCTCATGCATATCTTTATTTTCTAGGGTCTCTTTCACCATGTTGCATGACATTTTCCTTATATATGTATACCCCTTCCCTCATATTTTCCCTTATATGTATATTACCTGCCACTTTTGTATGAAACATGATATTAAACTTGCATTTCATATAAGCATTTAGAATTAAATCATTTGCTTGATTAGATTAGGGACACTCCTTGGATATGGGATATAGACGAGTTTGGCTTTTCTGACCTTAGCACGCTCGTATTCCCTCTATTGAAGGGAAAATTGAATCACGAACATTAGTCCCCCGTACCCGACATGATGCACTCCATTAGGACATGTATATTTGTATAATTATTTTTATTTTCCTTTTCCTTTTAGAGTCTCATATTTTTGCATTATTCGTGACATCTTCGAAGAATCTTTATTGGACGTCACAATTAATGTGATTGGTACCAATTAACTTCGAAAGGATATTTTGACCCCCCGATGCCCTTCTAGGTTTAGGGTTTGCATTCATATAGTACATCCAAATGTGATAAATTCTTTGATTAAAACAAGAAAATCTTTGACTAAATCGTGCAACTAGCCTTGGTTAGGTCGAAATGGTGCCTTGGATTCTTATCCTTGCCTTCCCTTTTTTCAAATGTGACTCCCGAATCTTTTTCTCTCATTTTCGTAGACTTGGAGTCGTTTAAAAAGGGTTTTTCTAGTTTTTTCTTTAAAGAATTCATTTTTAGGTGACTTGGTACGCCTTAACTCAATACCAAGTGGCGACTCCGATTTTTATTTCAAAAACCCCTTTTAAACTATAATTTGGGCCCAATTCGTCGCATTACAAACCCTATTTAGGCCCTTTTCTTTTATTCATTTTCTAAAAAAACAAAACTCATTTTTCCAAAAAATAAAAATCCATTTTTTTAAACTAAATTATTTTTCTTTTCAAAAATGGGGCGCGACAGCTGGGGGCCTCTTCAGACTATCTCCTTCTAATTTTTTTTGGCCTACTTGGAAGCTTGATATGCTCAGGTGGCAGTAGAGGCCAAATTTTCAGATTTTTCCTCATATTCTTACCTTTAAAATGATACATGACAAGCTCATACGCCTTCATATATGCCTCCTTTGAGTAACATTTATGCACAAAACTCTTTGGATGCTCATTTGTCAATGTAATAACACTCATTGCATGGGACTGAGGAATGCCATTAAGTTCCTACCTTCTACAACTACATGTACCTCACCTCATAAAATCAGTTGCTTGAGGTAGCAGTTATGCAACCGCTTGCTGCATTTTTAACTTTTTCAAGTTTTTCTACAATTTTTGGATACACACTCCGATTATATTTTCGAATCCATTCCCTCTTACTCTCCATTCTAGCCATTAAATATAGTCTAATAGTTACCAGCATGGCAAGTATGGACCTCTTTTGTTCTTCTAAAATGCTAGAATTAAAACTCTCGTAAAGGTTATTTAACAAGATGTCACACTTAGAAGAGGTTCTAAAGTATGCTCTAGCCCAATATTGAGGTGCTGTGTTGTCAACTAATCATTTAAACGCTCCCTCATCGAATTCCTTCAAAGCATCCATCAAAACAGCAAATAGGTTGTCGTAGGATGCTCTTATAGGAGCCTAAATTCTGTCCTGTAGTGCCAATCCACTATGCTACTTCTTGAAGTTGTTATACATATGCCTTACAAGCATTCTATGCTCCACATCTAGAAGAAGCTCGTGCAAAGTTTTGGATCTGCCTCTTCAAGAACAAAACATCAAAAAACATAACAAAAACATTAAAAGATAGTTTTGTAGAAAAATGGACAAGACATATAGTCAAATCTTTCTAAAAACAATAAAAAGTAACACAATAGTTCACATTTTGTTTGTCAGTCATAAAAGTTCATTTCTCCTCATTCTTTATGTCAAGGTCAGTCACCAATTCGGTTACAAACCACTTCCAAATTTGCTTATTTTCAACTTCAACTATAGCATAGGCAATGGGATATAACTTGTCATTCGGGTCGATTCCTACTGCTACAGATAAAACACCTTTGTAGGGGCTTCTCAAATGACAACCATATGGGCTAATAATAGGCCTACGACTAGCTATAAAATCTTGTTAACATGCACTAGACACATATAATCTCTCAAACCTATCTTCTCTCTCATCATCTTCAGTTACAATCATGAACACATTTGACCCAAGATTAGCCTTCTTGACCATTCTATAGTAATTCTATAGCTTATTATATTGAACTTCATAATCACCTTCAATTAGCTTATTTGCCTTTTTCTTTGTCCTATATACTTGCCATCTAGTGATATTGACATTCATGTCATTTTTCACCTTATCTTTCAGATTACTTATCTTCATATCTAGACTAAGAGAGAACTCTTTTTGGTATCTATCAATTACCAATGTAGAGTTTGCAAGCCTATGATCGAAAGTTCTCCCATATGTGTTCATCTTGCATGCTTTTGACCTAAAATGTCATTTTTTCTAGCATAATTACGGTAAAAACTTTCCAACTTCAATCATTGGAATAAACTGTAGCTCTCTTGCCATCATTTTTGCCAAACTTTATTTTCTGTTCATGTGCCACACCATGGTTCAAATGTCAGGCATAAACAGTATTTTGGAGTAAATGTTTGATAAACCTCAAATTTGGGATCTTGCATTTCAGTCTTAGGGTTGAACCTTGGATTACTTTACCTTCTTCCTTGGCTGTATTTCCTTTTCTTCTGAATCACATCCACTGTTAAAATCATCTGATTTAGTAGCATCTTCTTCAAATTCAGTTTCTATCTTTTTAGAATGGTTGTTTGTCCCCTTAATAGGTTCACTGTAACTCACAATTTTTGCCCACTTAGCTTTTCTTTCTCCAACTTGTTTCACTATGTGCTCCTCATCACTGAATTCATAATCACTATCAATGAACACCTTATTTGGACTTGATTCCTCATTGTCTTCAGCACATGTGTTCTTGTTGTTTCTCTTCTTTCTCTTTTGCTTCCTAGTTGCTATTTTGGTTGGTGCTCTTTTACTTGCTGATTTGGTTTATTCTTTTTTACTTGATGTCTTTTCCTTTCTTGAATTGCCTATAGAAGTTGTATTCTCCTCTCCTAATTGAGCTCCACTTTCATGATCACCAGCCACTACATTTTGCACTTCTGAGTTTATTTTCATTGGTTGTTCGGTAAAATGCAAATTCTCTGGACCTGGATCTGCTACGTTCTTATTTCCATCATCTCCAAAATCAATAGTATCTCAGCCATCAACTTCACCCTCATCTTGAGATTGACTTATAGGAATGTTAGTCAGCACTATTTCTTTCACACTAGGATATCCCTGCTAGTTTTTATCAACATCAGCTGTATTTGCCTTAGATGGATTAGGTTCACAACCACTTATGGAGTACGACTTAAGATGTATAAGGTATATATCAACCGGCCCATATTTTACTCCATCTCTAACCAAATCCAAAGCAATATTTTCATACAACACATAAACCAACCCATCTTCTAGAGATGAGCACGGGTCGAGTACCCACCCCTAATGTGATTTGACTAACCTGACCCTAACTTGTCGGATCACTAAGTTTTTGACCCTAATCCACTCCGCATGTCTCCGGATACTCGATTCTTGGGTACCCAGAAAAAAGGGATGGGTCATGTCGCGCCCCATTTTTGAAAAATAAATAAATGGTTTGAAAAATGAATGAAAAACATAGGTCTAAATGGGACTTGAAAGTGCGACGATTCGACCCAAAATAATAGTTTAAAAGGGTTTTGAATGAAAATTGGAGTCGCCACTTGGTATTGAGTTAAGGTGTACCAAGTCACCTAAAAAATAAATTTTTTGAGCAAAATTATAGAAAAACCCTTTTAAACGACTCCTAAGTCTACAAAAATCGGAGAAAGTGTTTGGGAGTCACATTTGATGAGAGGGAAGGCAAGGACGAGGTCCAAGGCACCCTCTCAACCTAGCCAAGGCTAGTTGCGCGATTTAGTCAAAGATTTTCTTATTTGTAACCAAAAGATTTATCACATTCGGATGTACTATATGAATGCAAAACCTAGACCTAGGGGGCATTGGGGGGCAAAATTTCTCTTCAAAGTTTGAATGGTGCCAATCACATTAATTGTGATGCCCAATAATGACTCTTTGGAGAGGTCACGAATAATGCTAATGACGTAAAATGAGTGGAATGAATGTATGCAATGTGAAAATATGAGTTTGTGTGAAGTGGAAAAGTAATATAAAAAACAATAGTGTGTAAGTGGAAGTGTGCAAATGGATGTGCAAAGTAAGGTGAGTAAAGTGATAGTATGAAGTACGTGTGTGCACGTGATAGTATATAAAGTGTAAGTGGCAAAGTGAAAACGTGCAAAATAAAAGTTGTGTGAAGTGAAAATGTGGAAAAATGGATAGAATATGAAGTAAAAGTGCATGTGATAGTGGATAAATGAAATGCATGAATCCTAAAGGAATGCAAGCAAGATGGGTACGGGGGACTAATGGTCGTGACTCAATTTTCCCTTTTAATAGAGGGAATACGAGCGTGCTAAGGCTAGAAAGCCAAACTCGTCCATATCCCATATCCAAGGGGTGACTCCCTAACCTATACAAGCAAATGAGCTAATCTAAATGAAAATGTAATCCTAAATGTGTAAGGGAAAGGGAGTGAAGGGTCATGCAAAAATAAAAAAACTAAAAGGAAAGAATGAATGAAGATGTAGTGAAGGCATGCGAGTATGTACTAGCGAGAGGGGGCCCTATTGGGTCTAACATTGGACTAGCCCTTTACTAACGCTCATTTACAAGCGTTGGACTTGTAAGAACTCGAGGGGAAGGCCATGACTAGCATTGGACTAGCCACGGTGACGTGCATTCATCTACATAAGCAAATATAAATAAAAGCAAGTAGACATGCAAGGCACGTATTTTCACATAACACATAGCACATAAGCATGCTTATCTAGATGCCAAAACCTAAGAAAAAGCGATTAAACACATAGCACCTAAGCATGCAAAACACATAAGGCAATTAAGACCCTAACTATTACATTTTTAGGGGAGAAGGCCTACTACAATCTAAAAAGGGGAAATGGAATGAAATAAATAGTTAAAATAAATCTAACTATTACAATTGTGGCATTCAAGTGCCTTTTAAATGATCAAAAATTGAACTAAAGTAAAATAAAAATACTAAATTAAAACAAATAAAGCGAATAAATGAATAAATAAAATAAAAACATTCAAATGGCATGCAATTGAGCACATATATCACATAATGCACATAGGGTCAAATAAAGTGGAAATAGGGGATAGAATGTACCTCCCTTGAATTGGAGCCCTAAATGGAGTGAAATCACTTATTTATCCTCCAAAAAAAAAGAAAAAGTCAAGGTACCAATTTATTTGGGAAAATTAAAGAAAATAGGCAAACACAAGCTCACTTGGACACAAAGTTCTTAAGTTCATGCATTAAGTGCAATCTAAACAAAACATGGTAGTTAATTGAAGCAAACAAGCAATGACAAATTGTAAAATTAAAGCTGCCAAGGACCAAATTGAGGAAATTATTCAATTGGTTGGGTCATAGTGGAACAAGGGGAGACCTGGGGTCAAAGATGAAATTCTGAAAATAATTCCCATGCAAGCATGCAAAAACTACGAGATATATGCTTCTGCAGCAAAGTTTCAGCAGCTTCTCAAACTTTCTGCACGATTTCGGCCGTAGCTTGCTAACAAGATACCAACTTAAACAACAAGAACACCATCTAATCCTCCCACCTTACGATACAAACTTTAGATTCAAACATAAAAATCAGACCAAAGAGCATGCAAACATTGAAGAGATATTCTGCAAAAAGGCACGAAAAAGCTTTCTACAACAAGAAAATCTGTTGCAACTTCAGATTTGACATCAAAGTTTTGATCAAAAACTTCTAAGCCAAACCTCCAAAACTTTGTACTAAACATTAAGACACATAAACTTAAACCTTCAAACAAGCAGGGAATAGGAAATTAAACCAAAACCAAGGAACTTTTCATGCAAAAATGATTTTAAACTTCAGCATTTTGCATGGTAGATTCGCTCCAACCTCTCAAATCGAAAACCAACTTCAAGTTCTTATCAGGCATGCAAGGGAATGACAAAAATCAGAAACACTAAGGACCCTCATGCAAACAAGAATGCGGACAAGGCTTTCTGCTAAGGAAAAAAAATGCAGCAGCTAAAGAGGCTTTCTGCAATTTTCTGCTACAATACTATGCAGCTCTAATTCATGCAAATGAAGTGCCGAAGAATGTACAAAAAAACTCATTGTTCATCCACCTAACTCACACACATCTCCACTCATTCATCAACCAGGAGAAATCAGGCCAAGAAAGCGGGGAAACACAAGAAATGCAACAAAATATTTGACAGTTCATGCATTTTATTATCAAAACTCTCTTCTCTCTCGCTGGTTTCTTGAATGCAATCCAAAGATAACTAATGGCCAAACTAACAAACTTGGATCAACACAACAGAATTATCCAGCAATCTTTCCATTTTTCACCCGCAGAGCCTTACGTTTAAACATGAAAAATCCGAGAGAAAGAGTATACAAAGACTGAAAAGAATTTCAGCAACTTAACAACTATGACATTCTGGGCATACACGGCTAACAAAATCAACCCAAAAACAGCAATCTTTTGAGTCAAAACAACACTTTATGCCTCTTATCAACAAGTCACAATCATATATTATGCATTTTCCAGGATCATTCAATCCAAATCATGCACAAGAGGAAAACCTAAAGGCACGTAATGCAACATCCACAAATTTCTGGATTTCATTTATCAGTAAAAAACGAAACAACTCCACTAATAAATCACCGATCATTCAGCCTACAACAAGACTATCAAACCCCCAAGCTAGCAGAATGTGAGACTTACACCTCTTATTGCTAAAACCTAACAATCAGAATTTCGCCAACCCCACAAAACAGCAACCAACGAGACATTAAGACAGCAATCATGATAAAATTCAAGGAGCCAAGCAAAATATCACAAGATTTGTGCCTTTTGGACTCAGGTTCTCATGAATACAGCGTTAAAGCAAGAAAGGGAGAAGCAAAAACGATCACCTGAATTGCTGGGGCCGAAGCAAGAGTTTCTGCTGCGCTTTCGTTCGAAGTCGAAACTGGTGCGGTAGGGTCAGGGCAGCTCTTTCACAGACAGATTCGGTGATCTTGCAGTTGTTTTTCCTTCAAGATGTCTGAACAAAAATCGTTCCTTTCACTTTGTAGATTGAGCAGAAATTGATGGCTTCACGAATAAAGCTGGGTCGGGGGAGAAAATCCTTGCGAAGGCAGGCTGAAAGATCAGCCTTGTTGCAGGTTTCGCAGAGGAACTCCCTGCGTTTTTCCTTTTCTGATTTTCTTGCCGAAGCTTTCCTTTCTGGTTCAGATCTCCTTCCTCCTCTCCAGCTTTCTCTCTCGGTTTTCCTTCTCAGTTTCTCTCGCTCAGTTTTTTCCTTTTCTCTCTTTTTTCCTGACCGAAGCTCTCTTGCCCAGAACCCTCTTGCTGTTCACTCTTTTCCTCCCTCAAGATTTTCAGACGTCCTCTCTCTCCAACTCTCCCTCAGCCGTCATTCCCTCTTTCCAAGCCGTTTCCCTTTCTCTGGTTTTTTCACTTTCTTCTCAGCCCCCTCATCAGATTTTCCCCGCAGCTTTTCTAAAACCTAGCCGTCACCGAACCCCCCCTCTTAGCCGTCCAAAACTCTCCCTTATATAGGCATCCGGAATCCCCCCGTAACCTAAGACCAAGGGATGAGATTTGAAGCTGCATTTTGGCTCCTCCTATCAAGACCATCAGATGGCATCTTGCATGAAGCTTGCGTCCTTTTTTTCTTTTTCTTCTTTTTTTCCTTTTTTTCATTTAATTAACAATAAACAAAATATGAAGAAAAATAACTAATTAAGTAAGATCGAATAAAAATGAGCGAAACTAGGCATAAAAAGATAAAATCAAATGCTAATTTTTCTTTCTCTTTTCCTTCTTTTCTTTTTCCCTCTTTTTTTTTTAAATTAACAATGAATTCGAATCTAAAATAACTAAAACATATTTTTGTGAATGCTTTTCTTTTTTCCCGAGAAATTCTACGCTAAAATGGCTTAAAATAAAAAACTAAAAAACTAAAAGGTAAATAAAAACTAACACGACAAATAAAAATAAAAAATAAATAGTAAATGAAATTACACTAAAAATTTGGTGTCTACAGGTCATAGGGTACCCGTCCCTATTATTCCTTCTGTAGTACTACTAAAGCAACCGATAATATCAAATCAACGATACATATTTTAGCACTAAATTCAAGTACATTAAGTAGACTATTATGAACGTTACTAGCCAAGACATGTTGGGTTCATCATATGCATGAAAGGGATTGAGATAATCAGTATAGGAATCACATATATGGAATAAAATCAGTAGACAAATTAGTACATATAGAAAATGCCAGATCAAAGTTTCATTTGAGGTCTGGACTCAAGGTCACTTTCCGAATATTTTACTACAATCGAACAAAAGAAAAAGGAGGAAATTTAAACAATAGTTGGACAAAGAACAAATTCTTCAACTAAAATCATAAATTAAAACATTCAGCATCAATGCAAAAGAATCATCTTACTACAACACATTAAGGAGAACAAATAACTTTTCAAATTTTCAATATTAATAATAGAATGCTCCTCTGTCAAATCTAAAATTTCTATATAAATTAAAGCAACCAAGCAAGATATCAACACAAGTTGAAACTCAAGTCAATAAGAAAATTTTCAAAACCTTATAGCAATTCATTAGTTGTTAAAAAATGGGCAATTCCTTATAGTAATTCATTTTAAGTAATCCAATAATCCTTGTATGCTCATCAACACTAAGGAATGAGGTTTTCTTTTTATTTTTTTTTGGATGAACTCTTTACCTAACTTTACTCAGATGATATAACTATCAACAATGGGTAAGGTAGAAAGATGGGGGCACCTATTTATGGTGAAGTCCAAATTTATATAGTTATATGCATCAAATATTATTTTTAATTTCCAACCTCACATATTGTAGTCGAATTTTTCTTTGAATTGGAACTAAGTGGAACTTAGCTCCTGGAATATTTCATATAAAAATCTAATTGACTCAAAACGACTAATACAAGACAAATGCTAAAATATGTCCCAGTGTAAGGTCATAGTAGTGTGTAATTTGTCATAAAAGGCAACCGTATAAAATAATGTATTTCTAATATTTCATACGAATGCTAACAACGATGTGATGACCGAAAAATTTGCTCATATTTTCTTGAAATTCCCTCTTATTTTGATTAAATTCCTTTATAATATCTTTACTACTCATTTACTCCCTCAATAGTTGTAATAAATCATAGAATTAAGAGTTTTGCCCTTAGTTTCATAGATAGGGTAAATTAGGATTTTTGCATATTTTGATAGTGTGATTAATTGGTGAGATATGTGTACTTAATTTGATGGTTAAGAGTGAGTTTTAGATAAGAGGAAGTGTGTGATTAGAAGTGATAATAATAAGTTAGTGAATCACAAGTTAAAACGCAAGTACGAGAGAGTTAAGGAAAATAGGCTTGAACCGACGTGCACCGTTTGCTACCAATTAAGTACCCCACTTGATCACTACTTTCTTGCCCTAATCTTCTTGGTATTATTTCAGCTAATCAGCCCCTAATTAACCCTTAAAGCAGCCGAAATATTTGACCTAAAAACAAGAGGAAAAGAAACCAAAAATAAGAAAAAATTGGTGATGCCAAGTGTTGAACATCTATGCAACTTTTGACCAAGACTTCTTTGGTCTTTATCATAGAATTTTGGACTAAAAATCTCTTCATTTCTTGTTTGTGTTGGACGAAATTTTGAGAGGAAAAACAAGAGAGAAAAGTTCATCTTCAACCCCAACTTCATGCTTGAATTTTGAGTTTCAATCCACAAGCTTGCAAAATACTCCATAAGAGTTGGTCACTAGGGAAGATTAAGGGATTGAGTGGAGAGATTTTTGGAGAAAAAGCACTAAACTTCCATCTTTCTTGAAGATACAAGGTGACTTTGTCAAGGAACTTTCCTCTATTTCAAATATTTGCCAACTAGTGGTTTAGGGTTTTAATTTTGGTAGCTTCATGAGAAAATTTCATGGTTTGAAGTTGTGATGTGAAAATTTTCTGTTTTTATGGTAATTTTCTGTCCATATATGATGCTTAAGTGTTGGTCATAGTTTAGTAGCTTTGCCATGTGCTTTTTTCAGCTTTTATATGCTTCTTGGGCTTGATGATAGAAATTTCTAGTTTGTGATCATGAATATTAACTTAGGGTTTCCAATTTCCAGTATTTGGTGGTGAATTTCAGTTCTGCCCTATTTTTAGAATCAACTTTGGCTGCAAATTTCTCCATGTTTTAGACTAAATCAACTTTTGGACAAAACATGAAAGTTGTAGGAATTTGCGTTAGCTTTCTACCAAGAAAATTTCAGCTCAATCGGATCACTATAGCTTGTGAAAGGACTAAAATACCTCTGACTGCCCAAATGCCTTGTTTAACCGATAACTTTCTGTTTTCTCTGAGATTTCAATTTTTTATGCTGAAAATGGGAGAACTGGGTGTTGATGTCTTCATAGGAAATGTAGGTCTATGTGTTAGATTCGAAACACCATAAAATTTACCTTGATCCGATATACCTATCTACAGTTACGACCAAAACGCCGAAGGATGACAAAACTGCCATTTATCAGTTCTTCTTTAAACTGGTTTCCAGCTTTGGTCCATGGTGATAAGTTATTATTTGGTTTGTTTGGTTGGTTTTGAGGCCTTGAATAGATGAATGTGGTTGGTTATCACTTGTGGTTGGATTGGAGGGTTGTTGGCTTGTGAATCTAAATTGTACTTGGATGGGAAAAGTGAGAAAATAGGGGAAATTCTGCCCAAATTTCTATTGCTTGTTCTTATGAATATTAGTGAGATGTAAGGTTTGATTTTAGGGTTAGTTGGATCTTAAGTTACATATGTATCCTTGAATGCACTTCAATAGTGGTATATGAGTTGTTTTTGACCAAGATTTGGTATCAACTAAGATGAAAAGTGTTAGTTTTATCTCGAAAACTTTGAATTACATTTACTCACTTCAATTTGGGATTGGTTGTTCTTTCAACTACTAATTCCTGAAATTTTCTTTCGTTATGTTTGAATTTTTTCTTTCGTTATGTTTGAATTTGAGAAATGACTCAAGATTTTTCGTGACTTAGAAGTTCAAATGTTGTTATCACTCTAAAACTGTATTTTGATATTTGCACTAGTAATTTCTGGATTTTTGATGGTTCATCTAGATTGTGATTAGATGAACCATAATACCTTGTTTTAACTCATCTAGGTTTCTTTGGTGATCCGGAGTACAACTCGGAAGAAAACTTTTGACATAACTCTTCCTCATATTGGTGAGTGTTTCTTGCGTGTTTGTGTATTAAATGACTGTGTACTTGTTGTGAATATTTGCGTGAATGTTAAATGCTTTCTAATGATTGCTAAATCGATTTTCGATAAACGAGTGTGTACTTTATCGCACTCGACCTAAGCCAAAGTGAACTTTCAATGATTGAATACTACTTGTGCATGAATGTAAGTTTTTTGGCTGAACTGGGCCCTTGCCTTTCATTGCCAGTCGATTTGATTTAGAAATGGATTCGGTCGGGCGACTGGTAACCCTGGGACAATGTTTTGGTATACTCGAATATGACCACGAAAGTTGGTGGAGAAATGACCAGTGAATTGACTAGTGGCGGGAAATGAAATTAATGAATGAATGTCAAGAACCCTGGAGGAATTTTCACTTGCAAATATTTTTCTAATAAATTGGTGGGATAAGGAAAATGGTTGGCGAATGAATGAATGAATGACTCCACGTGAGCACGTATCCTTTTAATGAGTGTGTTATCATTGCTTTTATATTGTGAATTTTTTCTCTTCAATGAATAATGTCCTTGTTTAAATTGCTTGATTACTTGTTTGGGAACCTCACTGGGCTTTTAGCTAATTCCTTTAGTTTTTATTTTCCTTACAGGGGATACGAGCAGGGGCGTGAGACTGGTACAGGCAAGCATAGTTCAGTTTCTGAATTTTTGCGTTTGTACTCGCGTTAGTGCTCGGTTATGGTTGAATGTATCTGGAATTCACAACTTTTGTTATATTTGGGATTGTATGAATGTTTGAGATAGAAATGAATGTAAGTATACATTCCAAGTTTGGGAACTGTTATTTCACTTATTCTTGAGGTATACCTTATTTTATTTGAAAAGAGTGAACGAGTCCTGGCGAGAGGTGGGCAGGCGGTTCGACAAACCCTGGGGTACGCCCCAGGGGGAGGTGGGGTCATCATAGATGGTATCAGAGCTCTAAATGAGCTCGTGCCGGGAGAAGATTCTCGAACTGTGGGGATTGGTTTGTTAGGTGTGGAACAAATATCTATTGTTGGGGACATTAGATATGTATGTTGGGTAGGAATCTCAAAAGTGGTTGATTTTCTCTTGAAACTAGCTAACTCGAGTGGTGAATCATCATATTTTCGGATTCCTGTACCCGAGTACCAAAGAGTGATACATTTATAATAAGTCGACATCCCGAGTAATATTAAGATAAGTCTGGATGGCAAAAACCAAGGCACAGGGGATGCAAATAGTCTGGACTTGGGAGATATTGAAGA